GGTTGTGGAGTCTCCTTCTCTGGAGATATTCAAGACCCACCTGGACGTGGTCCTGTGCAGCCTACTCTGGGTGACCCTGCTTCGGCAGGAGGGCTGGACTGGGTGATCCCCAGAGGTCCCTTCCAACCCCGAACATTCTGTGATTCTGTGACTCCGTGCCGAGCTACATGGGGCTTCACCACCCCCCGCATCCCCCCTCCAGGGGCAGCCCCCGGGGCAGTGCAAGCAGAGACGCTGGTTGCCACGGGTGGTACAGCAGGTTTCAACCACCCCGGGTGGCGGGGGCACAAGTCCCGTCTGGTTTTGGCTCATCACTTGCAAACCTCCAGCCCCGTTGGCCGAAAATCAGTTTAGAAAATCTTGGGAGATCGGTAATAAATTTGCAGTCGCTTGGAGGGGAGAGGCAAGAGTGTTAACAAGTGTGCGTGTGCTCGCTGGGTCTCTGTGCATGCTCGCTGGGTTTATGCGCTATAAGCTGTAAAATATGATTTATTAATGCACAGCTGGGGGACTCTGTGTGTCGGAGCACTGTCTTGTTTGCAGTGTTGCCTGAAGCTTCCCTTCACTCAAGCTGCTTGCGAGCCCCCGCTCCTCCGCTGATCAACCCTTTTCATCTGCATGCATAGATAAATGCCAGACGGGGCGAAGAGCTGTCAAGCACGGCCATACGGTCCTTGCAAGCAGCAGAGCTCTTGGCTAAGGCGGGTATTGCAGAGTCCATGCCTCTCCTAAGGCCGCACCTCTGAACCTGGAGCCTTTTGCTCCAGCTTTGTGTCTCCTGGCTCTTTTGGCATCGTTGTGGGAGCCTGAGAGTTGTCCTGGAAGCATGTGATGCCTGGGAAGGGACCAGAGCAACCTTTTTGGGATGATCTGTGAGAACCTTGGGATTCGTAGAGTTGTCTGTGTTGCACAGAGGCTGTCGTCTTGCCCCCTCCCACAAGCCCCCAGGGTTTTTCCCACCTTCCTAAGGGCTGAGAGGCCCTTCCCTCCCCACGGCTCCTTGCAAAGCACCTTTTCCCTTCTGCCTCTCCCGGCACAGATGGGGTTGGTTGCTGGGGGTGGCCGATGCCGCCACTGTCTGGGAAGCCCTGAGCTCCAAGAGGGCAGGAGAGCCGTGATAGAGGGATGAGCATCCCCAAATAACTCTTCCCGCCTCTG